AAACAAACAAACTGGTTAAATTACAGCAAACAAACTTTGCAAAGCAAAGCTCATTAAACTGCAGTCGAAAAGGTTTTCATTCAGCGCAGACATCCGCTTCACTACAAGCTGAAATATTTTACTCTAAGCTCTACAACTGATTTCTAAAAGTGAAGAAACACTCATGACGTCTCAGACGGCAGCTCTTCAGTTCCTTTGGACCGGACAAACCCAACAGCAGCAGGAAAACAAAGATGCTTTCCCTCTGCACTCCGTGAACAGAGTGATTAATAATCAGAGTAAATAAAAGGCCTGTGTATGAAGATGTGTGTGTCAGCAGCCTCCCGGTCCGATGGTGCAGTGGTTTGATGGTTCAGTGGTCCAGGAGACACATGAGACTGGATGTGAGGCGTAGGAGGAGGAGGAAGGCTCATTCAGAGGGTCACAGGATGTTGTTTGTTGAGTCCAGCACTTCTCATTGATCACTAACGGCTTCTGGCTCTTCTGACCTGATGTGAGCCACGGTCGTGTGTCTGAGTCTGGCCGAGCTGCAGCCATCGACAGCACCATCATCGATCCGTCAGCGATGATACCGAAATAATAAAAATTAAAAAAAAAAAGACTCAATCAGGCCTAATTTGTTTGTTTGTTTCCAGAATCAACAATAAAAACTTCAGGTCAACAATAAATATTTTGACTGACCAGTTATGTTCAAGTGGAAAACTATTTAGTGATCATTTTTTCTGAGTCTTTCCGTGGGCGCATGTGTCTGTTAACAAAATATCTCTGTACTCACCGGATAAATTTGATTGAAACGCACAAAATAATCATTGGATGTTGACACGATTCAAGATGGCTGCCAAAAATGGTTCTAACTTAGCTAATTTTACAGATATTCACCTAAACTTTGATGAGGTAGTAGCTGAAACTTATCCTCAACACGTAATCTGAGCACTAAAAGATTGCACAAGGTTTGTTTAAAATTCTGCAAGTTTTCATTGGATGTATATCTATAACCCATTAACTTTTAGCCTAATTCAAGATGGCCTCTGCAGCTAACACTAAAATGGTCATCAACCAGTCAACTTTACAACTGTTGAGCTAAAAATTTCGTATGGTTAAGAGCCACTCACAATGTAAGTGTGGCAACTTGTGAGCTTTAGATCACTCATAATGTCCAAAACAGCTGCATCTCTATCATTTCTCAACAAAAAAAATGTTCTTGAACTATGAAAAGAGGCAGGCAATATGAATTTCTTTAAGCAATGCTAAGCTTTTTAATTGTAAAAAAATCATCATAATAATAATAGCAGTTAACGATAATTTATTTTACTGACATCAAATCAGGATTGTACCTTCTGTAATCTGTAATCTGTTTCTAGTGTCTGATATTTCTGCAGCACGTAGTTCTCCTTTGATTTCCAATAATGTAATATTCAGAGCGTCTGCAAGGTGTGAAAAAGCTTCAAGTATTCATCACGAGCTGCCAGTCTGCAGAAGCTGCAATCATCTTGTCTTCACAAACACTTCCAGCTCGCTGCGTTTCAGCCCTCATGCGGCTGCTCTGAATGTGAATAGAGGCAAAACTGCAGCTCTCAGGGAGAATGGATTGTATTGTTCTAGGTGTGACAGAGAGCAGACAAAGATCCAAACTGATGAAGAAACAGTCCTTTATTTACCGGGAGTTAAAGTACGACATAATACGTGAGGGTTAGTATAATATACAGTATGTACTGTATGTACTGTATGTACCGCCACCGGTGTATGAATGTGCGTGTGAATGGGTGGATGGCTGGTACTGTAAAGCGCCTTGGGGCCCCTCATAGGGGGCTGGAAGGCGCTATAGAAGTAAGCTCCATTTACCATTTACCATATATATA